GAGGCAGCAGAAACAAGAGACATCAGTGTCACCCACTGGGAGTGAGCACCAGGACTCCTTCAGCAAAGCTGTGTAGTACTTACCTGTTTGGGTGGGAGTTATGAAGCATCTCTGTGTCTAGTGTCTGTCTCACTGATGCAGAGCAAGTCCTAGTTTTCTGGTATTTTGTGTCTGTCAACTAAGCATCCCTGGCTCCATACCACCACCATTCTCAGAACCAATCAACAGAAATGTTCACATTTACCAAAGTAGTGATGGCAACCCAACTAAGAATGTTGGACAGTGGAGGGGCCAAGATAAGATAGGAAGAAATAAGAAAAGAATGAAAAAGGTAAACGTCTTGGTAAACAGCAATATGCCTTTGCCCCCTTCATTTTTTTTTTAACCAGACCATTAAAATTTTGGTTTGCCAAACTGCTACATTCTTGTGATCTTTTGACTTGTGATCTTTTGTAACCATGTGTTCATGTGTAACCACTTGCTTAATTACCACTTAGACACTACTTGCTTGCTTAAACTCTCAAATATGGGTAGATTATAAATTTCCCTAAAAACTGGAACTAGAGGCTGGTGCTATTACAGAGTTATCAGCCCACTGGTGTGAATAAACTCTCTCTCTCTTTCACCTCACTTGGCTACTGATCTCTTGACTACCAGAAGTTTCTGAAACAGTAGCAAAAAGCCCCTTGAAGCAAGAAGTGGCTAGGACTTTAGGAGTTACCCTAATACATGAAGATGCAGAGGTTTTTATGAAACTAAAAAATAAGATTTGTTGCAGCTTTCTTATTACTTTGAGAAAAATAGTGTAAACTACCTATGTCTTCTGAAGACTACTGCTGACCTGAAAGACAGTGGATGGTTCTGGTAAGATACCCCTACTTACCCTTGAGTTCAAAGAAAGGCCAAAGCATGCTCGAACATTCTAAATATACTTTCAGTAAATGTACACTGGGCACGTACAGTCTTCAAATCAGTCAGAAAAATAAGACTTGTAAAAAATTCATGGAGGTTATGTTTCCTAGCTTTGAGCATTTACTAAAAGTACATGAGTGCCCTGCAGAAATTTTAAAAGCTCTGTTTTTTTTTATTCAGGACAATCTTTTAAAAAGCAATCTAAGGCTGAACACCCTGTGGCAGGGGAGAATATGGGCCCCAGTGGGAAGTCACTGCAATTGCTTTGTTAGATAGAAATGATGCACCTGCTAATGTTCCGACCAAGCATTTGTGTTTATATCTATAGCTTAAGTTATTATAGCAGTTACTATTTAGATGTTCTTGCTGCTTGCTCTGTGTGTTTTTATAGTGGATGGAATCCCACTGAAACTGCTCAACAACCCATGGAAAACAGATGATGCAGAGACCTGAAAGTTCAGTGCCTTGCCACAACAGGAGGAAGATCACCCCACACCTACCACCCCTTCCAAGGCTCAGGGACTTTTGTGGAAGAAGTTGGTAGAAAGAATGTAAGAGTCTGAGGAAAGGGTGGAGTGTTAACTGGAAATATCCTCTGACCACTATGCAAGCAAACTATAGTTACACCTCCTTCCCACACTCATCAAGGTGTCAAAGGGGGAGTCAGTTACCCCTCCCACCCAATCAGTCACTTTAGTTGTATGTGGGGGGAGGGGCAAAGGATATATAAGCTGATAACACCAAGAGACACCTCTCTCACCATTTTATGCAGCTGTTGGGAGGTCACAGGATCTGTATTTGAGTGTGGACTTAAATACACACTCATTACAGCACAGCCATAAATGTGGGGCACCCACTCTTCTGTAAATAACCCCCTACCTACCCTATGCTGTTAAAAATATAATAATAAATAAAATATTTTTAAAAAGTAATCTAAGGCTGATCAGATAATCAGGATAATTTACACCCAAGGGTTGTCTGGTTTTAGTGTTTTTAGTTTGCATTTGGCTTTACTATCACATAGATGCTAAACCACAGGACTAGCTGATGTGACTGAGAAGAAGTCATTAGAAGCAATGGTATACAAATGAGGCACTAGTGCAGTAGACAGGGAGATGATGGCACAGCCAACTATCCAAAGGCAGGAAATGCAGTAATTCCAATAAAGAAAAAGAATGGAAAAAGTGAGTCCTTACCAGACACACTGTAACACAAGTATGCTGAAGTCAACAGACCCTAAGCTAAGCAATCTGTTATATATATGTGAGGAAAGATTCAATTT